AGTAGAAATGGAATATGATTCTAATAGGAGGCCACCTAAGCTGAGTAGCTTAGTACGAACCTGGTAAACATGATCATAATATTTGCGAAGGCCAACTATGAACCTAATAGTGAAGTTCTGAAGACGCTCAACTTTATTTAATTGATCTTCAGCAACATTAGAGTAGCATGTATCAGCATAATCAAAGATATGGAGTAAAATAAGTTTAAATTAATTTTTCTTTTATACTTTTTTAACAGAACTAATTTAACAGATTTTATTGCAGTTAATTAGAATCTCAATTCAACATATTATTTTCATTTTCCGGTCCCGGTGATTTGACTGCTTTCAGCACTTTTACAGAAGAACTACGATTCTTCAACGCCTTAATGTCATGGTCCGTTCGAGCTGTCTTCATCTTTTAAATATAAATTTTGATCCCTATTTACCCAAAAGCCGCGCTAGCTCAGGGGTTTAGCGCTCGCTGTAAATTTCACAGTACGCGAGCAACCCGGGTTCGATCCCCACCGGCACCAATGAAATTGTTAGTTGTAATTTTAAGTGCTGATTTACCACTTGCTCACATGCATTGGGGCAGCGCAGCTGACATTTCCTTGCCCTAAAACCTTCCCAGAAAGGCCTCATGTACCCAGCAGTATGACATATATAGGCTATAACTTTAACTTCGAACGTTTTACCCAGAAATAACCAGCAATATTTTGAAGTCTTGCAGTTTTTAGCTAGGCTTTGGAATTAATTTTATTTATTATAAGATTGGATAGAGTCGCGGGTACTCTAGGACATCTCTATTGGAATTGTTTCTTAACGAAACGTAGTCGGTAGGAATTGGTGTTCCTTCGCGATGATTATTAGGTTGTGGGGATGCTCTCGGGCCTGAGAGTCTGTCAATAAAGTCACCACCCTATTACCTGTTTCAGGCGCCAGAACAGAACGTGAACTGCTGAGTGTCCCCTATGAGTATATAATCTGTAAAAAACTAGTATTATTTAAATGTGTAGTGTTCGCGTAAATATAAGAAATCATTATGTAAACCAGTACGGACTGGTAATTGCAAATAAAATACGCCGATCAGAAGATCTAAAAACCAAGCGCGCAAGATATCTAACAGTCTTAAATTTCTTGAAGAGATGACCAGACCATAATCTCATTCCTACGTGAGTCAAAATATCAACCAAAAAGGACATTCGAGGACGCGCTAAGATTCTAAATCAGGCGAGTAAAAAGTTGTTACGGACGGTAATCCAACAAAAACGCACCGATCTAGATAACATAAACAAATCCATAGACCCATCATCCTGTTTTGATGTGCAGTCACGCTTACCTGTTGAAGACTGCATCTCAATTGTAACTAGAAGGCTGAAAGAAAACAACATGCCCGTAGAATATGCAGTATTACTCAGACACTGCCTTACATCTGGCTACCTATTGTGGAAGAAGGAGTTCTACAGGTAAGTAGATGGTGTGGTGATGGGCGCACCTTTATCTCCCATTTTCGCAGACATATTCATGGAAGACTTTGAGGAGAAAGCCCTGCTTAGTTCTCCCATAAATCCAAGATTCTACAAGCGGTACGCAGACGACACTTTCACAATTCTACCTTTAGATAAAGTAACTGCATTTTTAGACCATCTTAACTCTATAAATTCTAAAATTCAGTTCACAATGGAGTTAGAGGCAAACAATTCCTTAGCTTTTCTAGATGTGTTTGTAATTCGGAATCCTGATAAAACCTTGAGCCATACTGTGTATAGAAAAAAGACCCATACAGCCTATATACTACTATACCCATACAGTATATATTTAAACGATGATTCTCACCGTACCGTATCCTTCATAGTTATCTACCGTGGGTGTCTAAATCTTTGTTTCAGAGAGCATGAGGGATCTGTGACAGTAAACACCTGGCTGCCGAGCAAGTTCAACTATGTCAAGCAAGTTTTGCATGACAACGAGCTTCGGGTCCCGCGCCTACGTCACAGTGAACGAGTGAAGCCGGCCACAGCGAGTGTGTAATGTAAACCTGCTGTACTGCCATATGTCAGAGGAGTCACTGACAAGATTGGCTACATCTCGAAGCGCGCTTTCATTAAAATATACTTCAAGCCGTCGAAGAAAATTGGTCAGTTTTTACCATATATAAGATTATAGGAAATAGAGTCACGCCGCAACTGTATGATGGTTACAACACGAATGGGTCTGGTTGACGGTGACAAACTATGCTCCCAAAGAACCAGTGTGAAATAGCAACATAATTCTGCTGTGTTTCGTATAGTGAGTGTAAGGGACCGGAAACCCATCTTGTATCATATCAGTCGACATGGTTGAACCGCGCTGCAGCTGTGTTATAGTTACAGAATGTATAACTCACTGAATACTAGCGTAAAATTCCTTCTAAAGTAGTAACGAGGCATTCTAAATTGGCGATAACGCATCTACATTTTGAGTTTTAATCGAGCAAAGATCGTGTCTATACGCTACAGCATCAACGTCCCACCAAGAGGATTGTCTACAACCTGTCACCCTCTTTCTTAAAAAAGAAGTCCTCAGAGGTGACAACGCATCTATATTTTAATACTAAATCTATGTAGGCGTCTATTGGCCAACCATCAACTATCTATAATTTTCTGTGAGTTTCCTTGTCACCCTAACTTCTTTAAAAAAATCAATTTACCAACTGATTTTTAGAGGACAGAGATTAAGTGAGAATGCAGCAGTCCATGGACACCTTCATCTATCTGATTATGAATCAAAGTGTAGATCATTGATTTAATATGTACTTGGTACTAGAACAGACACCCCGTGCAGCAGTGCGTTGAAGGCGGAACGAGGCATAGAGTAGGTACCTACCATTTTCATCAGTCACAGACTAACTTTTAGTTCGTATGCTCTTTGCGTGTTGCAAGCAACCACGTCTCGGTGTCTCTTCTGGTATTTGGTACATATTGAAATGAAAACCTTTTTGTAAAATATAGATTATAAATAATTCTCAATGAAAGTCACTCTTATGCTCAATTTACCACTGGAACGGGAAATATCTTTGTCCTGGGAAGAACAGCAAAAAAACCTATCGGGTCGTTTTTTTTTTTAAATAAGAACATCTGACAATTATGTATTAAATAATCACAATAATTAACAACATAAAACCAGTTACAAATATCACGGTAGCGATGTATATAATAGCCCTTTTCATACACTCTTTTTTTTTTAATAAAGTTTTTAAATTTAGCTGAAGTAAGATTTTGTAATTGCTGTTTGATATTACTTCAATGATGCAGGTGCATTATAAACACAGCAACATTGTGCAAGAAAATCAAAATGGCGGTAACAAGTCAACAAAAATCGAATCGAAAATCATAATAAAGGTTAAATATGTTTTTTGCTCGTCACAGCCATCTGTCGCGCACAATGGCCGATATTTGCGACAATTTGTCTGATATTAACAATGCTCAGTGATACGTGTAATAGCACATTGGAACATCTGGGCACAAAGGTGTTGCGATCGACTTTTGATAATTGGGCTGGAAGTAATTAATGTTAATACGCTTATTGTAGGTAAAGGAGCTTAACTTAACATGTTTTATGGACCATGATTTTGGTATTCATCTACACATATATATAAAGTTGAAGTAATTATCTGTATTGTTGAAATAACTAGCTTATATTAATCTCAGAGGATAATGCATGTTATTGAGGCAAATAATATTTTTTTAAATTTTTGTCTGTCTGTTGGTTTGTCCGATTTAATGAAGGCTGAACCGGTTGTGAGTGCTGAATGGACTTTGATTATCTTAAAACGAAATAACACAATATTAATAGATCCCGCCCAGACAAAGCCGGGTGGGTCTCTAGTAAGTCATAAGAATTAACGTATTACTAAAAACGTAGGGGTTTTGAATATGAAATAAAATAAAAACCTTTCCATATCTTGGAATAAAACTAATTTTACGGATTCTATCGCGTTTAATTTTGGACGAAAAACACTGGAAAGTGCCCGAAATGTCGGGAATTAAAAAATTAAAATTAAACGCGATAGAATCAATAAAATTAGTTGTATTCCATGTGTTGTATTCGCATAAATATAGGAAATCTTTGCAGGTCTTTATAATATATCTGTACAGCTGCAGAGAAGCTATATTTTTAATTTGTGCAACATTTTTAGGGGAGCGGGTGCAAACGGTGCGGGTCATCCGATGGTAAGTGACTACCGCTACCCATGAACAATTGGCTCCATACTTAGCTAAAATACTGTCGCCATTCAGAAGACACAACGTAAGAGCACATACTAATGATTCATACGATTTTGTCATTGAAATAAAAGATCTAAAGACGTGACCATTGTAAGTTGTGATGGTTATTTACATGCCTACCTTTTGAAGAATACATCTCAATTTTAACTAGGAAACTAGAGAAAAACAACATGCCACCAGAATATGCTGTAATACTCAGCCATTGCCTTACATCTGGCTATCTATTGTGGAAGGAAGAATTCTACAAGCAAGTAGATGGTGTAGCGATGGGCTCACTTGTATCTCGCCAACTCAACTCAACACCAGAGGAAGTGCAAGGTCGTTGTTAGCCTTTTGAACAGAAATCGGCTGTATTCTTGAAGGTCCCTGAGTCGTAGCGGTCCGGAAAAGTCGCTGGTGGTGGCTGATCCCACAAAGAAGTCGTGCGAGGAATAAAACTTTTTTGAATCTAAGTAGTGGACCGACAAGCACTAAGATGGTATGGATAGTATCGCACTTTTCTGTTGTTTAAAAGTGTTCTTTTTATATGTATATAGAGCAACGAGATACCGTATTGTATCTGCAGTACGAATGGGTCGGGAGAAAAGACGAAGAAAAGTTGGCAGTCTACATTCTTTATTTAACCTTCTGGTTTTACCTCAAACTAATCCTTAAATATTTCAATCAGATGAATAGACCCGGTACTACAGTATTCATTTTGCATAGTAGTAAAGACCTTAGAGGAGAAAAAGGTATTAAAGGACGAATAATAATCTAGACAGAAACTAGAGAGTACATACCATCTGGCGAGGTCTGTATCCCTTTCCGTGGCTTAGCGTCATTGTGGTTTCCATATTCTAGTGTCTGAGGCGCATGCGCAGGGTGAGTGGCTTGCGTTGAATGCGCCGCGACGTGCGCAGTGGCGTTCGCGACTTCTGCGCCTCCCGTACTCGTGCCCGGCAACGCGGGGAAGTCTTCCGATGACATCGTCAACTTAGATTGCTCCGATGTTGGCTGCTTAACCATACCCACTGGAATTTATTATAGTATTTATATGAGTTTGTTCACCTACTCGGAATAGTGATTACAACAAGTAGTGGTAGTGTAAGAATATCTACTACCGCATATTGTCCCGTTAGTGTCATAGTTCGACTGGAGAAACACCACGCTCTCACAGAATACTAGTGTGTAACAGTAGAGTAATGTTGTGTTTCGTATGGTGGATGACGAGAACCGGAGACCCTTTTTACCCGTAACCATCCATCTTAGTTTTTTATAGAATAAGGGTGACAAATGAGCACACAGTCCACCAGATGGTCAGTGGATGCTGTGACTCGTAGACATCTACATTAATCCTCGATTAAGAATCAAAACGCATATGCGTGGTCACCCCTGAGGACTAAGATGAAATGCCTCGTTTCCAGTAAAAAAGGGTCTCTAGATCTCTACACTCACCGTACGAAACACAGCAGCATTAAGCTGCAATTTTACGCTGGTATTCTGTGAGAGCGTAGTCCTTCCCCGGTCGGACCGACCCATTCGTGCTAAAACCATAATATAGCTAAAGCGTGGCTCTACCACGTACGAAAGTCCTTGGGGGTGGCGGCACATTTGCATTTTAATTCAAGTATATTATTATATAACAACACAGGACGCTTGCTCTTTTACACAAAATGCAGATCAGTCAAGCAATTGATCCGAGTCAGTATATTATTATTTTTAATTACATGAACCCTACAATTATCCTACTCCTGATACTCAGCATTCGTCACGTTTACCGCGTGTGAACTGCACACAATTATTTTTTATTATTTTGAGTTATTTACAGAAAAATGCTCGTGCCTATCTCCTGTCTCAGTTTTCCTCTGTCGCCTCTGACAACACTCACGGGCTAATACGGGGTAGTGGATATTCTTACACGGCCACAACACGCTGTACGAATTTGCTAATATAGGTAATAGTATTTTGTTATTTACGAAATTCCTAATGTGAAACAACACTCCCTCACGGGTCTACCTTTAGACATCGATTAGACATCGGTGTACAAGCGTAATGGGGTCGCCAAGGGCCGGCTAATTGTAGTCGGGCGGCGGTAAATCTCGCCCCGAGTGACCTGTGCCGTGAGCAATCGTGATTAACTTTCTTAACTCCGAATTAGTGAGTGTTTCCGTTTAGCGAAAACATGGTTTGTACTTTCATTACCCGACCGCCCCAAAAGAAGGGTAATGTTTTTCGAGAGTATGTATGTCTGTTAGTCTATTTCTGAGGCACGCTCTGTAGCCTAAATGGCTTATTGAATTTTATCATAATTATGAGGTGTGGTTAGATTCATCTAAACTGTGGGAGTGAGATAGAATATAAAACTTTTCTCTTTTCAGTAAATATTTTTACGCATTCAGGTTTTTTAAATTACTGTTTTAACCTTTAGACTTGTTTAATGCGTGATTAACCGTACAATTTCAGAGTTAATCTTTAACTAACCCAATCATATTTATGACGGTTCCGTAGTGACTTATCCGTAGCATTAAGTCGCTTTTACTTCCGAAAACAAGTATTTGTATGGTCTACAAATAATTGTACCATATCCGGATGTTTTTTTTGCAATTTATATGAAAACTGAAAATCGTAGTAGGGAGTAACTATTTTGTAAATGAAACAATCTTATGCAGACGGGCAAATAAATATTCGATGTTATTAAAGAATTTCTTAATATTTAATATAGAACATGAGGGTAATATGGTCACGTTCTTATAACCCAAAAACTACAGCCTTGATTAAACTACTACTACTTCTATGGATTTTATCGCGTTTAATTTGAATTTGAATTATTTTTATTTTTAATTCCCGACGTTTCGGGCGCTTTCCAGCACCCTTGGTCACGGGGGACTGAGGTGACTGACGTCCCGATGTTAAACCCGGAGTACCTTCAGCTTTTTTAATTATTGTTTATGGTCCGATCTATGCAAAATGAACTGACTATTCCCAGCCTCCTTCTCTATTGAAATTAGGATGTTTTTAAATTTCAATAGCCTCACGTATCATCCTTGGTAGGTGTCACTGTTCTTTCGCGAGGATTTGTGGTCTATCAAATCTGATGTAATGGTTGGGGCCGTCTAGGATATGATCACACACTGCAGACTTCCCGGAACGTTGATGCTTCACATCAGCTATGTGTTCTTTTACGCGGGTTCTAATTGATCTTTTTGTTTGTCCTATATAAGAGAGACCACATTCACAATCAAGCTTGTACACTCCTGCATCTATTGCCTTGTTTACATAGATGGTCATGTGATACGATAGTTCTTCGTAAGTCAATTAAATAATAAAGTATCAAAAAATACCCTCCTTTATCGACGCCATTATGACAGTTGACGTTATAGTAAGTATTTTAGTCGATTTTAGTATGGTGTAGTGTAGTTAGTTTATTTAAGTTGATTTTTCAAAGTGTTCATAGTTATTGCCAAAACTTGTTTGGTTTCTTTTATTAATATACTAGTTATAATATGCGACTTTGTGTTTTTGTCTCTGTCTTTCTCCTAGTTTTGGTTTCATAGGGCGGCAAAGATTAAGGTGACCATAATACCCTCACGTGCCTTATTACAAAATAATCCTCAATAATTTAATAATGAAGTGACAAACAAGCTGACGTCCACCTGGCGGTAAATGGTTACTGCAGCCCGAGGAAACCTGTAGCCGACTTCAAATAAACAGGGCTAAGGATGGATTGTCACCTTTGTGGACTAAGATGGAATGCCTATCAGCCTGTAATTATACTGCCTCACGATATCCTTCAGACTGAAACACCACCACCACCTTGTTCATCAATATCAGTATCACCTTCTTATTCTCGAAAATAATAGAATAGAATAAAATAGATATTTTATTCAATATAGGGTAATTTCATACTCTCGCAGTCCCCTCGTTTTTTAGCTCTAGAAAATCGAAAAATCATCCGATTTCGATTAATTTTTTTATTAAAATCTTCGTTTTTATGGCGGATTTATGAAAAAAAATGGAAAATAAATCACCTGAAGGTGTCATATAGTTTTATGACTTTAAATGTGATCTTTTTTGCAAAGCATTAAACTAAGTTCATAAATAATTTTTGTTAATTTACACAATAAAACGAACTTTAAAAAAAAACATTGAAACATGTTTGTTTATTAGTTTTTTATCTGACTTAAAGTTTTTATATGGTTTTCTAACTTTAAATGTTATTGAAATAATACTAGTTTTTACGGAATTTATCGCGTATATTTAACTTTTTAAATACCCGACGTTTCGAACGCTTTACAGCACTCATGGTCACGGGCGGGACTGTCACTGTCCCGTAATAAATTCCGTAAAAACTAGTATTATTTCAATGTGTAGTGTTCGCGTAAATATAAGAAATCATTATTTAAATGTTATCATAAACGCTCTAGAAAATCTAAATAATTATAAAAGTTAATATTTTGGTGTTTTATTGAGTGTAATATCGAACGAAGCGAGCTCGGGACTTAACGACTCGGACAGGTTAGGTTAAAAGAAGATGGCCTCTCCTTCGTGGTTATTTTTTAATAAACCACTCAGAAGTAGGAGGCCCGCGTCGCGGGGCTCCGTCGACCGGACATCTCTCCATTGCGCTACGTTGAGTGGCATGGTGCTTCCCTCCCCCAACTCTCTCCCGTGGCGCAGTAGAGGGCAGCCCGGTCGAAAAATAATCACGAAGGAGATGGCTGGTTCAATTCGATTTTCTAGAGCCAAAAAACGAGGGGACCGCGATAGTATAAAATTACCGAATATAGATTATATGTAATACTTCATCATGACATAAGCAGTCCACTGCTAAAATAGCTCCCCCAAAATACCACAGCGAACGGTCCTGAGCCACCTGCAGCCGTCGACCTCCTGGCTGCCGACCTTCTTCCCATCGGTTGTCGGTTCTTCGAGTATTATTCGATTCTACTGCGGATATCCTAATTTCTAAGTTTATCACGCAGAGAAACTACGAGCATAGCCCTCACCATAGCTCGCTAAGAGACCTTTAGCATCCCCAAACGGCCAGCCGTGAAGTACTACGTCTTAGATCCATAAGTCATCACTGGCAACACGCACTGGTTGTACAATCTCTTTTTCAGGTTTTGAGCTATACCTGACGCAAAGATATGTCGTATTTTCCCGAACGCTGCCCAGTCTAGTTGAATCCGTCCATTGACCTCTCGGTCAAAGTTGAATTTACCTAGTCGGACTATTTGTCCCAAGTAAACGTACTCGTTAACAACTTCGAGCTTAGTGCTCCCAACAATCACCGGCGTAGGTGCGACATGGATATTACACATGACCTTTATTTTGTTCATGTTCATCTTGAGACTTATCCGTTGGGAGACAATATAGGGGTAAATGCAGTCATCAACAGATTTGACAGCATACAGGCAACTGAACAGACAGATTTCCAAATGCATGCGGCGAGACTTACGCAACTTTAATACTGGTCGTATTGAAGAAGCGATTGAGCGAAACCAAGGCTCCAAAGCCTTTGCTGGAGATCTGTCTGCCAGAAAGAGCCAACTGTCAAAGCTGAAGACCGAGTGTGGCGGCATCGTTTCCGAGAAACCTGAGATTTTGAGTAAATTTGAGAGGTTCTATGGGCAGCTGTACAAATCATCGTTGTAGCCGCACGCAAGTGTGACTAACGATCCAATAGCAAGCTTATCCGACACTATTCCAATGATATCCCGAACGTCAGTCTTAATGAGATTAGAATGGCTTTCCAGCACCATAAAAACGGCAAGTCCCCAGGCGAGGATGGAATTACAGCGGAGCTTCTATAAGCGGGTGGAAAATCGGTACTTAAAGTCCTTCAGAAGCTCTTTAACTCCGTCCTCCATGTTTAAACTACTCCGGTGACACGGAGCAGAACTGCAGTGGTCTTGTTCTTCAAGAAAGGCGACGCAAATTTCCTCTTATTGTAGAATAAGAGTGACGAACGAACACACAGTCCACCTGCTGGTGTACTAAGATGTAATGCCTCGTTTTCAGTAAAA